CCGGGGAGATGGCCCATGACCCCTGGGGGCATAGGTTTAGTCCGGCGTGCTGGCCTCTCTATTAAGCCTAGGTCGGGTTGCGGCGTATTGTTTGGCCGAGGCCGGGCATGACCCTGGAAAGTGTGTCCGGCCGGAGTCAATCGAGCGTGGTGGGTAAGTTGGTGCACCCCTGCAGGGAAGAAAACATCTATCGATAGCCTGTCCTACGGTAACGGACACTTGGAGTTGTATCCCGATCGATACAACTAGAACTGGATACTTGTGATGAGAACTGGATGGTGATGAGGATTTGATTGTGATGATAATTGGATAGTATGGCTCTGGGATTTCTTTCTCGCAGGGAGTCGAGAAAGGATCTCCGGCCGAGGTTGATAACACCACTGCTACTTACTTTATGCTACTCTACTCCCTCCTGTTGCTGCAAGATGGTGGGTTCGAGAAGATGCTAGTCTTCGATAGGACTAGGCCTTCTCTCTATTCTGGCATTTCTGCAGCCCAGTCCACATATATAGCCTTCCTTTGATAATGTTGCATATGTAGTGTAGATCCTTGCTTGCGAGTACTTTGGATGAGTACTCACGGTTGCTTTGCTCCCCCTTTCCCCCTTCTTTCTTCTTTCTGGTTGTTGCAACCAGATGGTGGAGTCCAGGAGCCAGATGCCGCCTTTGACGACTACTGCTACCCCGAGGGTGCCTACTACCACGTGACGGACGCCGACGACCAAGAGTAATTAGGAGGCTCCCAGGCAGGAGGCCTTGCCTTTTCGATCGATGTTGCTTTTGTGCTAGCCTTCTTAAGGCAAACTTGTTTAACTCATGTCTGTACTCAGATATTGTTGCTTCCGCTGACTCGTTTGTATTCAAGCTGATGTATTCGAGCCCTCGAGGCCCCTGGCTTGTAATATAAAGCTTGTATTATTTTAAATTGTGTCTAGAGTTGTGTTGTGATATCTTCCCGTGAGTCCTTGATCTTGATCGTACACATTTGCGTGTATGATTAGTGTACGATTGAATCGAGGGCGTCACAGCTCCCTGCCATGACGCGCCGGTGGGCTTGGTGATGACATCCGTCCTGACGAGCCAATCGTCCTGGTCTTCTTGCACCAAAGTGGCAACCTTTGGGGATTGCTTTGGGAACGGGTGCGCTGCCCTTGCTCTCTTAGCACGGATGAGGAATGCCTCCTCATCTGTGCCTACTAGCGCCCTTCTGGTTCCGCTCGTCGCTGAGTGTGTCACCCACTTGAGGACACAGGGCCGCGCAACTCCGTTGCCTGATCATTGCTCTGCACGCCTCCCCAAGTGGCCTCGGGAGGCCGCCTCACGAGGCTCCTGACGACACATGATGACGCGCGCCTCGCGAGGCGAGGTCCTCACGAGGCGAGGTCCTCGCGAGGGCCTTGCTCATGAAGCCCTGGTGGTGGGCCATCTTGGGCCTTCTGTTGGCTCCGCGCCATGGGCTATAGGCAGACGGACCTGGGTACCCCTAGTACCATGGGCCCGCCCTCACTGTGGGGTCGGAACGACGGCCGTGCTACGGGAGGGCCGACACAGACTAGGGAGAATATATGAGAGGAAAGGGACATGTCCGGCTAGGTTGGGGCGATTTTATGGAATTTGGGGTGGGTCCCACCTGTTAGATCCGACGCGACGAATGTGTCTGAGCCTGTCCGGGCCTCCCCTATCGGAAGTGAGGGGTGTCGATCAGCCCATACACATAGGATCGGTTTATGGGAGCTGACTGGGTCGCAATTTCTTGACCGGTTAGTGTCCGAGCTGTCTGCTCGGATATATATATAGGGCCAATATAAGAGGTGGCATTGATGAGATGACAAAAATTGCATCTGAATATACAAGCTTGGATAAAAATAGGAATTTCACTAACCTATCATAGATAAAAGGGTTTTTATTATTTATGGCACTAGTTGTGTCCGACTACTCAGTTTTGCCACTAGAAATGTTAACTGCTCAAAAATGCAATTGGTCCGTTAGACGCTTCCTCAAAATTGCCATCATACACCATTATTATCAGCTCAAAGTCCGTTAACCATGTTATAATGACCAAAATACCCATGGAACAACATGACAGCTCTCCATCTATCTCACTACGATAAAGTGTGGGTCCCACTTGATCCCAATAATGTTCTTATTTTTCTCTAAAACTATTTGCTTGCTTACTCCTCACAAGTGGGGCTCACACTTACCATAATGAGATAGAGAAAGCTGACATGTGGGTGTAGGAATATTTTGCCATATAACATGGTCAATAGGTTAGAGCTGAAAAATAACGGTGTCTAATGGTAGTTTTGAGGAAACATCTAATGAAACGATGGCATTTTTAGGTATCTGTTGGCAGTTTTTAGCAAGCATCTCACAGAATAATAAGATTTTTGAGTAGTCATTACTTCTGATGGTAAAAGTGAGTAGTGGAATACAATTAGTGGCATAAACGATAAGAAAAACCTAGATAAAAAAAGAGTGAGCCCATCTCAAAAAGAGAAAGAGAGAAAAAAGGAAAGTGAAACAATGCTTCGTGGGCCGCTTCATTCCGGCTAGAATCTATACCTAATAATAAAGGATCTATTGCTTGTGGCAGTACGTCACACGAATTGCCTCCAGATTTGCTAAATATTACCCATCGATGCCACTTATAAGTGACAAAAAACGATTCACACAGAGGAATCCCCAGCCTGGGCCGACCCATGTAGAGACCGCCTATATTGCACGCTGTGTGTTGGGAGAAGACGCAGCGTGCCCGTTTGGGCCGACACATGTGCGGGCGGCCTGTTTTTAAATTTTGTTTGTTTCTTTTCATTTTTTTATCCTTTAAATAATTTGGTAATTCAAAAAAGGTCCGAAATTTTTAAAAAGATGGAATTTTTAAATAAAATGTTTAATAAATCATAAAATTTGGTGGGTTCAAAAAAGGTTCCTATTTTTTTAAAAATGTGCACATATTAAAAAAATACAATTTTGAAAACAAATGTTTGGGACATCAAAAAATGCTCATGATTTTTTTAAAGTTTGTGTATTAAAAAATGTTAATGAAATTCAATAAAATTTAACAAATTCAGAAAAAATGTCCACTAATGGAAAAATAGTCTAAAAATTCAAAATTTTCGTGATTTATAAAACAGTTTACCCATTCATAAAATGTTTGCTGATTCATACAATGATCATGCATTTCAAAAAATGTTCGTGAAATAAAAAAAATGTTCATGAAATTCAAAACTGGTTCCACCAAATTCCAAAAAATGTCCGTCGATTCTAGAAATGTTCTCCGATACAAGAAAATTATTTAAAAAAATATTCACAATTGTAAGAAAATATTTGCAAACAGTATAAAATGTTCATGAGTTCAAAATATGTTCTTGATTTTTGATTTTTTTTGTAAATTTGTAAAATTGTTCACGAATTTAAAAAATGTTCATGATGTCAAATATGTGCACCATTTTTAAATAAATGTTCACTGTTCCAAAAAAATTTCATGATTTCAAAAAATTGGAAGTGATAATGTATATCGATGATGTAGCAAAATGTGATCATGACCATTGAATATTATGATTTTTTTTATTGCAACCACTGTTCAAAAAAAAATTCAGTTCAATGATTTACCGTACAAAGATTCAAAAGCAAATAATAACGGTAAGAATTATGTTCCAAGTTATTTTTGTGTTGAATATATCTATCTTAATGTCGGGAATTTAGGATTTGCCAGAAAATGACCAATTATTAGTCGACGGATAAAATCAATTAATCCATATCTTTAATCTGCAGTCAAATAAAACGCTAACGATAAGCGATATCCTCAACATTGGTTGCAACGCACGGGCTTTTGCTGGTCATACCAAACCCTCCCGTCACCACCATGGCCGAGGGCGCCGCCCCCCTCCTCCCCACCGCTGGCTACGACGGCGAGGACCGAATCAGCGCCCTCCCGGACGACCTCCTCCGGGCCATCATCTCCTCCGGCCTCCCCGTCACGGACGCCGCCCGCACCACCGCCCTCGCCCGCCGCTGGCGCCACATCTGGCACTCCACACCGCTCGTCCTCGACGATGTCGAACTGCACGGGTCCGCCCGTGACGCGATAGTCTCCCGGGTCCTTGCCGACCACCCGGGTCCCTTCCGCGCCGTCCGCCTAGCCGGATGCAGGTTCGCCTCCCTGGACCATAACCTCGCCGAGTGGCCGCGCCTCCTCGTCACCAAGGGCATTCAGCTGCTCGTCCTCGTCAACATGCACATCCAGCCTCAGCGCACCTCCCCGCGCCTCCCCGCTGAAATCCTCCGCTGCGACTCGCTCCAGCGCCTCTTACTGGGCTTCTGGACGTTCCCCGCCGACGTCTCCCACGTAGCCGATGTCTTTCTTCCTCACCTCCACAATCTCAATATGTTAAGGATTGACATGAGCGATCATGACCTGGAGTGCTTGGTTGCTGCCAGCCCCGTTCTGAAGACCCTTTTGCTCGCCCAAAACAAGCCCAAGCATGTGCGTCTCCGCAGCCAAAGCCTCAATTGCGTGGTCGTTGGAGGATCCCCGGTGAAGGAGGTCGTGATGGAAACGCCGCTCTTGGATCGCCTTATCTTGGTGGAACCGCCTCCTAGTGCTGTTGGAGGTGCTGGTATGAGGGTCAAGATTACCTGTGCACCCAACCTGCGGGTGTTTGGCTACCTGGAGCCGAGAGCTCACAAGCTGCAGATCGGCGATGATGTCATCGAGGTACGGTTACCTCTCCATCTCTATCTCAACATGATTTTTTTTTAAATGGTCAAAGGGTGTTGCATATGTTCATAAATCTTGTCAGGGCGTACAAGAGGATAGGTGATCTATCTCAAGCATGAAATTATTTAGGATTTTAGAAAATCATTACATCCACTGAGATCCATCCACCAGGGTCTTCTCTACGGTTATAAAACAGTTAATGAGTTATGATATTTATATTTCTTTTGGTGCAAATTATTCCATCCATCCATCAAGAACACTGTGGTTCATATGTGTGAGTATGATGTGTATCTGTCAGTCTGTCTATCCATCAAGAACTGTTAATGAGTATAATACTTATTTTTCCATCAGTCAAGAACAGTTAATCAGTATGATGTGTATCTGTCTTGGTGCACCTCATTGCAGCCAAACATAATGGTGAGCCCAAGAACGGTGCTTCCAGGCGTCAAGATATTGGCCTTGAAGGTGAATTTTGGTGTTTTCGAGGAGGTCAACATGCTTGCCAGCTTCCTTAGATGCTTTCCCAATGTTGACATGCTTCACATCGAGGTTTCTCCCAATTCTTTTCAGTTAGTTGATCATTTGGCGATGTTATAATCAATTACTAAACAGCATGATCCATATATGTAACTGAACTGTTTACGCACTGGCATAAATTTGCAGTCTCTCCTGCACGATCCATCCGTACCTGGCTATGAACCCACTGGGGAGCACCATGCCAAGTTCTGGCTGGAGGCCAGTCCGATCAAATGCTTGCGATCACATGTCAAAAGGATGGTTATCCACAAATATCAAGGGCATCAAAACGAATTTGAATTCCTCAAGTTCATCTCCAAGGATGCGCTGGAGCTGCAGTCTTTGGTGCTTGTGCCACCTAAAGAAAAAAATTCCTTGCCGAACGAGGTGAATGAGATGATAGACAGACTGGGGTGTCCACGGTTTCGAGCATGGGCCTCTAAAGTGTTGCTGGTGTTGACTAAAGTAGACATTGGTTTTATTTTGCAGAAATCATCCGACCTTACGGTCGACGACCCTTTTCGCTGCTCGATGCATGGCTAATTTGTTTGATGTATGTATATATGTATGCAAGATCAATCCAAGCCTCTTGGAGAATCATTGACTGCTGTAGTGAGATCACAATGTTAAAGTTTGGAGGCATGCTATCTCTTCGGTTAAACCAGGTCTCAACTAGGAGTACCAAGAGTACATGCTAGTATCTAAGCTGGCAGAACTACTGAAAAGACCAGCGTTATCTTATCATGTTATCTAACGTAATGCATTACTAGTGATGAATCAACTACTATGTGGTTCTGAAATCTGAATATGGTATGCATGCTTTATAGCCATTTTTCTCTGCTATGCTCTGGTTTTGTAGCGTGCCACCTCTGTCAGTTTTTGTCAAAGATTAAAATCGCGGGAGAAAAGATTTCACGGTGGCCTCTCCCAGCAGCTATAGTGGCCGCCATAGCGGGCAATCGCGGCAAATAGCGAAAAAAATTCTGATGGGGGAGATGATTTCCGGAGGGTTTTGCTCATTGTTGAGCCATTTATAGGGAGTTGTGGAGGATTTCGCGGCAGCAGCCATAGCATTGCGGCGAGGCTCCTAGGCAGCTATAGCGCAGCTATCGCGACAATTTTGCGGGCTATTTTAATCTATGGTTTTTGTTCATATCATCAGATGATCAGACTATACCAGGCTAGGTTGACAAGTTTTCCGGTGCTATGAAAGAGAAAACAAACTTGTGCTAGAACTGAATTGAGGAAGACTCCTAGCATGTTGCTGTTACATGCACAAAGGCCATATTGCTGAATCGGGGAAGGTCTTTTTGTGTGTGGCAATAACTGAGCAAGGTCTGGGAGCTACCCCCAGAAGAAGATTTCAACCACACAGGACCTGACTAGCTCCTGCACCTGCTAAGTAAATCTGGTCTGACCTTGTATCCGTCTGTTATTTTAGAGGCAATGGCGCCTTGGAAATAACACAGTTAATGGTAAGTCTCAAATCTTTGCTTCAGCGCACTTCCTGCAAAACCACCTCCACTTCTCCAGTCTCACGCTGGAGAAGTTGACTTCTCTGTGTTGTTGCCTCCGCATTCTGGAATTTGGGCTGGTACGTATAGGGTATGTTTGGATGCTCGCACCATTTTTGGGTTTCCAGGGAATCTAGACAGGCAGAGCCTGATCTAGGCGATACGAGTTCTGAGCCATATTTTGCAAGTTGTTTGGTTGCATGTGTTGCCTCTCCTCGCATGAGAGTTGAAACAGAAGCACAACGTTTGGTTGCCTCTGTATGCTTTTCCAGATGCAACCTTTAGCTGTTTGGTTAGGTGCACATTGATGAGTGCCGTAATTAATACTTACAATATGAGTTGTGTGAAACAACGAGATGACGTTAGGGTCAGAGAAAATTTCAAGCAAGCGATCACGTGCAACGAATTTGACGAAATTCATCTAAATAAATCCAAAGTTAAACATGAAATTGAGGAGTTACAGTTAACGAAACTTGGAATCAATTGCTGGAATGGAATCACATCGTCAATCCACATCTTTTTCACGTAGACCTCTCGCGAAAGCAGTGGATTGACAAAGTAGTTGAACAAGAGGGTATGTGAGAGAGGTTGAAGAAAATAAGTTCACACACATGAACACCCATGCTACAATAGAACATGCATATTCATATATGACAGTCGAAACATAAAACTTACTATACGAAATTGTGTGACGGGAGAGATGAAACTACTTCTCAAAGAAAAATTCAAACGATCGCCGTGTGCAGCAATTTTGACAAATTCGCCTAAAAGAACTCTAAACATGCACACATAATTGAAGATTTACCGATAACAAGAATAAGAATAGAACGTTGATGTGCATTTTTTGTGTGTAGATTTTATCTTAAATTGAAGCACCATTGTATAGATTACAAGCGACAGATGGAGAAGATTAAGGAATACAACGGTGCTTCAAGACTGCGGTTCATCAACAGCACCTTCAGCCAGTGAGAATCCTTTTTTTTTTGAGACAAAGCCAATGTGAATGTGAATTTCCTTTTCTGGCCCCTGGAAACTGCGGACTCTTGAGGGCCGTGGAGTGGTTTGAGAACTGTGCGGGTCAATTTCTAACCAAACAAACAGCTCAGATTTGGACCCAGAATGCCTGCATCGTTCCAACCTCCAACCTTACGTGGCCCATTTCTGGAGTCCACCCCGTCTCCGTCGAACGGCGCTATTGATTTAAACCAGTACCATATACAAGACAGTATATGTGAGGAATCTGATCAGGTAGTCATGTTTATATTTTAATGCATTAACATTGATATCATATATTATCCTCTAACAGTTTGTTTACAATATTTCTATGTGCATGACATACTTGATGTTAATTGGGATGATGAGGACACCCAACGTGGCCTCAACACACGCATCCGGGGAACATCACATGATCATGGCGACACAGTTACATCATTAGTTACAGATTTCTTCGGAGGGAACGTTATTGGCCCATCTTTTATCCCCGAGGAGTCACAACCATACACTTACAATTACGCATCAGGTTCGCAACAAGGATTCCAGACTCCACCACCTACGCAGGAGTCGTAGACACAGGAAGCCGAAGTGGAGTACGGCCGCGGTCTACATGTAACTCGACCACCTAATCGCTTGTTGCTTTCCGGTCCTAAGGAAAGGCCAGGTGGCCGTCGTCAACTAGGGTGATTCATCTATTCACGTGTGCGACCCATTGTATCTACATGTCAGTATCAGACTTTTCGATTTAATCCAGTGTTTCCCGCCTATATCTCCCGCCATACTATCCCGCTTCACTTTTCGGCTTATGTTAGGCCGAAATAATTTTTTTTGGCTTATGAATACTGTGCAACCGTTTCCCTCCAACCCTTTCCCGCCATATCTTCCCGCCACCCGTTTCCCGCCAACCCCTTCCCGCCATATGTTCCCGCCATACCGCAGTCATTCTTTCCCGCCATTTTCTCCTCTCTACCTATAAAACCCCCTTCACACGGAGGTGGATAAGCAGTCCAGTGCAGTGTAGTCGAGATGTCTGGTTATCCTTTCGATCATAGTTTTCATCCTGGGATGAGCAGATGTGTTCTGAGCCTAGCCACCGATTTCAGGATGGGCAATAGGATAGTTACATGGGACGAACTTACCGATAGTGACACCATAATGAATGAGTTGGCTGACGAATTACGTAGGTCCGGGTGGCTTGAAAGGACCTATGAGGAGGTACGTAAAGAACTTCTTAGGTTGCATGAAAGGTGGAAGAGGGTAGTGGAGCCAAAGAGTGAAACTTTCAGAAGGACTGCAGCAAAGAATCCATATTTATGGACTGACGACAGCGAGGACGAAGATGATATCTTCATGCAGCTGCTTCCGGGTTCTGCATCGTCGAAGGGCAAGAGTTCTGGATCGTCCAAGGGCAAGAGATCTGCATCCTGGAAGGGCAAGAGTTTTGCATCGTCCAAGGGTAAGAATTCTGCATCCTCGAAGGGCAAGATTTCTGCATCGACGGAGGATGACTATGATGCCTTCATGTAGTTTTTAAGCTGTATTCCAGTTCTACCGTTTAATTCAGATGTATTTGCGCTATTAGTTTGTACTGTCTTATTGTATGGCATTATGTTCTATCATAATTTCATTTTGTAGTTGTTACACAATGTTCAATAATTAGTGGAGGGAAAGAAAATGCCACATTTTATTCTAAAACTATATATTTTTTGAATTACGACACGGTACAACTGAAAATAAGATGCATCGTACTATTGAAATAAAGCTACATTAAACTGCAGAAATTAAGATACATACGATTGAGAAATTTAAAATACTACCACAAGAATCTACTGAGTCCAGCGTGGATATTTTCCTTCTCCATCGTCAGCTTCTTCAACTGCCTTGGCCTCACGAGCCCTTTCTTTCTTTCTCTATCTCTCCGCCTCATGAGCCTCGTTTCGCTGTCGTTCCTACTCCTCCATGCGACGAGCCTCTTCCCTATTTTTCTTTCCTAAATCCTAAAAAAGGGTGTTGCTCCGCATAGTATTCTTTTAACTCTCTCTCTCTCTCTTGCTCTGCTTTCTTCTCAGCTTCCGCCTTCTCGCGTCGCTCTTCCGCATAGAAACTATTCCACGCACGGAGACTTCTTTCACGAACCTCAGTCACTGCCCAAGCCGGCATCTCTGTGTCAATCCAATGATAGTACATGCACAGAGGCGAAGGAGACTACAACAAGAAACAAGAATGTTATTAAAGAATCAATCAAAATACCAACAATATCTATTCGTGATGGTTAAAGCATACCGGAGGCTTGTCAAACTCTGAAATAGCTACGTGTGGATCTTCCTCATAATTGGCACATATGAAAAACTTCATGCCCAACCAATCTGAAAAATCCGTCACCTTCTTCACCTTGCAAAGATCGTCACACCAACACCGCAGGACTTCCAACCCCGGAGGCAAACTTGCATTCTTCATTTTCCTCGCCCTAATGCTTTGATCCGAGCAAGGAAAACTCATACTGACTGAAAAAATGTGTTACACACTTTGCGCAGTGGCGATTTCGACGATGGCTGGACGAGGATGACGAGAGCCTCAGTGTCTCCTTTTATAGGCCCAGACGACAAATGACGGCGAGAAAATAAGCGTGAACAGATGAAATTAGGCGGGAAATTTTTGGATCCCTGTAGTGTCGGCACAACAGGTTTCCGTAGTATCGAATTCCCGCAGTGAGTGAGTGATTCGCACAGTGCCATCGCATCCGCTGAAGAAAGCCGGAGTGATTCCCGGGTAGCAGCAGGGCATGAAAGTCGTCACTCATTAGATTCCCGCCCATCAAATTCATCGTTGTTCGCGCACGTTGGAATCAGTGCCGTCTGCAACAGGGAACCTGTCACGCGTGCAGCAGCAATAGAGGAGCCGCCTCCTGCGGTGGCGGCCTGGCCCACGCCTCGGCCCGCGCGCAGCAGGGGCTGTCGGCCAGGGAGCAGCAGCCGCAACGCTCGCCGCCTCGCCCGGTGGCAGTGTGGCCCACAACGTGTGGCTCGTTCCGCTCGG